AAAGCCAAGCATAATGCGCATCCCTGCTCTAATATCACCCACTGATTCCTGTTTCCCCTATCACTATCAGTATTTCACTTGTTAGAAAACTACAATCTAAAACTAAGCAGGAAAGTAAGGTGACTTTGGAGGGTGAGGGAGAAAACATGTCTGGCTAGGTCTACCTAGGTCTGTATTCATAATCATACATATAAGCCACAAGATCAACTGCCTTTCAAAATCTTTAGCGAGCACTACTACCCTAGCAACAAGTTGGTTATATTAACTAACATTTTCTCAAGCAGCAAGTGGTTGTAACGATGTCTAGATAATAAGAAGGAAACTATTCCTGCTCTGGAATGTGGACGAGACCCCACTCCTCCAATTATCTTCTGTAACGGTGCTGCCCTCCTGCAGTAGTCTTTTGCTTTTGTTTATCCATATTCTGTACACCAGTGGGCCCAGTCAAGAAAAATTCTCTTGTGCTCCAATTTTCCCAGTCAACTGGAAACTTGGATTTGCAGATAATAATGGACCAAATCTCCAAACTTCTACTTTCACTCATTTTGTAATGTGCATTTGTCACACAGCTAATACTCAGTCTAACCTTGTTCACTTGTGTAGGTACAGCTGGCACCAGCTTTACTACTTGAGCTGCAAACCTGCTATACAACGTCTGTATCATTCAAACAATGTTTTCTACACTTCAGTTTGATTTCCCAAATGGTTAACAGAACATTAAGAAACAACCAAAATGCTGTAAACCATATTGGATGGCTCCAGGCATTCCCTGAGCACTTTAGGGCTAGAGAGAACATCGAGAGATTACCTGGTCAGAGTTATTTGTCAGCGCAACACACAAATGCAGGACACAGCTAGGAAGACATTTCCATTCTGTCTTTTGGTTTCAAGTTTAAAAAATGAAGCAGCAGTGCATCTATTATCTACCCACCTAAATGTGGAAACAGATCAGTGTCCAGCTGCTGTTTTCGAGTGCACAGTTTCACCAGTCTCTGTAGCCGGCTCATGCAGGACGAGTGCGGAGAGAAGGCTGTGGCTTTCATGAGGACCCGATCAGTCCTTGGAGGGTCTGTGACAGGAGCCCTAGTGGGTGGCAGGAGAGGCAGAGGTCTCTTGTTAGACAACTGCCGCGCTTGTGCTATAGTGTGTGTGGTGGGTGCCACTCCCTGCATTGGTAGGCTGGTGTTCGGAGGTTGAGGTGACTTGCAGACTATGCCCTGCGGTAGCCCTGTCGGCTTTAACGAAGCTGATGAAGGTGGCAGATGGGAGTGCTGCTGCTGCAGAGGCTGCTGCTGCAAAGGTGCAGGAAGGGGGCTAAAGTGCTCTTGGCGAACTTTTAAAATCTCTGTCTCTCTCTGGCGCTGCCGGTTTTGAGCCAACTTGCTCTGCAACTTTTTCCTCACCGTTGCCCCTTTCTTTAGGTCATCATCCTCCTCATTGAAAGCAAAGGGGTCTTCTAATTCTGCCTCCAGGTAGTGGAGAGGAAGCCTAGCCCCTGGAGGGGAGAGGGACATCCCATCCAGTCCATTGGGCATCTTCAAGGCCAGGGTGGGCACTGTCAGACTGAAGGCCATAGCATCCATCTGATGCCTGACCTTTACCTCCTCTATGGGATCATTCTTTTTCTTCCTCTCCTTTTTCGGTATAAAGCCAAGTACCTGCAGGTGGCTGTTGCAGTACCTTTGAAAAGTAAAAGCAATCAGTGATTAACTCAACTCCTGTAAGTAAAATCTGAAGAAAACAGACATTGCTAAAGGGAAACCCCTGTTTCATGTGAATATAGATCGAAACACAAGAGGTTTTATAAGAAGTGTACATAACTGCTTCTAATACAACAGATAAGTATGGTGTTCCCAACCTGTAACAAAAACCTAAAACTTATGCAAGTGACAATTCGTAATCTTAAGATATAAAAGTCTTCATTCATTACTTATAAGAAATTCCCACAAAACCATTCAAAATCTTTACTCTCTAACAGGATAAATACTCACAAAACAAAGTGAACAAAACAAATGGACTGTGTGACAGTTAAACCAGCAAGAACTCAAGCCATTAACTCTGATCATTTGAAAAGCTCCCAAGGAAAAGTACACTGAAGACTACTTCCTTCCATTTGGCTGTACTTTCACTGGAAGTAGTAACATTTTCATCAATAAACACATTATTATTATTAGGAATTCCACCGTAGTAGAGAGCAGTTTCTTATATAGACAATCTCACTACGAACGCCTGCTGAGAAGGGTCACTATTTGCTCCTGATGAACAAGAAGCATAAATATTTAAATTCTGGTTTAGTAGTTTAACATGATGAATTTTGTAGCCACCGGATTAGCTGAATGTTCCTCAAACAAAAATGTAGCTGAAAAGAAGTTCTCTGCTGCTAGAAAATGTTTACACAATGACAGGAGCACTTATACATACAATACACAAACATGGATTTTAAGCTCTTCTAATGTATATAAAAAAAAAAAAAAGCTTTGAAAGTCATGTTATTAAAAGTAAAAAAAAATGGAAAAGTCTTTGAAAGTCTGTGATGAAAATTAAAAGGAAAGAGTTGCAATTTCTGGCCACAGATTAAAAAAAAAAAAACATACTAAGTAGTAAACAATTGATATTTGTTTGATTAAAACAAGCAGTTAATAGAAATGTAGAAACCATGATCTGATCCTTTTCCTGTTTCACACAGGCACGCCCTCTGGCCTCTGTAGAATGCCACCAGCAATGAGACTTCTGCCCTTGCAGGATCCCATCTATAATGTGCAGCTTATAGATGAAAACAAAGATATGGGGTTTTTTTTTGTCTGCATCAGTGTATTTATGGACAAGATAAGGAAATACCCATGAAGGTATTTTTTAAAATCCAGTCAGTATGAATCAGAGAAAAGTAATGGGTTTTTTCTTTAACAAATAGGTTAAAATGAAATTATTCCTGGTCTTCATAGAGAACAAATGTCAGAAAAGCCCAAATCAACCCCCTCCACAAGATTTAACACTTCAGTTTAGTCACTTCCAACTTGTTGAACAACCCCTGAAGAAACAATGTGGGAATTGCTTCTAAAGGATCCATAAAAGGTAAACAAAAAAGCAAATTCATATATGCTCCTTAATGATCTCCATATATGTAGCTTCTTGAGGCATCCACACCCATAAGGACTCATAAATCAGAAAAGGCTGAAAAGTACAGCTACTTATTATTGTCTCAATAATTAAGTTGTAAGTAATAAATAAGTCTAGATGAGGCAAGCTGAAAGCCAGTGATGTAGGGACTCCTTATTAGAACACATTGGAATACTGTAAATTCATAGTGAGATACACACTTCTAAAAATAAAACTGTATGATGAGGGTTCGACAAAGTTTTCCTTAAAGACAACAGCACTACTCCCATAATTAAAATTAAGCACTTTTAAAGTATTTTGTTTCAACAAGACTGAGATCAGTTGCAACTGCACTTTTAGTGTGACAGAAGGAAAAACAATAAACGGACAAAACAAACAGAAGGAAATTTTTTCCCCTCTAATTCCAACAAAAAGAGGCTTGCTCCATGTGAGTGCTTCCCTTCTATTGTTCAGAACTTAAATATTGCCATCTTGTGCTTGTGCCAATGTGAGAAGGTAAAACTAGTTAGTGTGTTTTCACTGTGAAAAACAAAGAGAAAGCAAATAATAGCAAAGGTGAATAAACAGGTAAGAAGCTTGATAACATTCTCTGAGTTTAATGATAGTAAGGGTTTTGCTTGTTCATTTTACTATAACGGAATCAATTTTATATGGCACAGAATAAAGCTTTGGCTCTTACAACTGACCATACTGCATCACTGCACCAACTCTATCTTAAGCAGGACACTAACTCATAGATGTCAGGCTACAACATAATGAAAATATAGATTACAAGCACTTGCAGACTCCAGTACACATTGACTTGGCTCTGTGCTTTAGGATCTATCATCTCTCTCCCTTTCAGCATAACCGAGGCTGATACACCTTGAAGTAAAAGAAACAAGAAGAAACTGTGAAGACTGCTTAGGTCTTTCTCTCTCTGGCCAGAGAAGACTACACACAGGTAGTTTTGACTAGACATAATTTATTAGCACTAACCCAACCCTGGCCTTGTCAGGCTCTAGCTAGTCCCATGCAGAGCCAGGCAGGCACACACAGCCACCTCCCCATCCTTCCAAGTTCTAGGATGGCTTTTTAGTTGGCCCTGGCCCAAACTGGCTCTGACTTCACACGGTGCTGCAGAGATTAACTGACTCTGCTGGAACCAGTCTATAGCCAGCTGATTTAAGGCAATAAACATTTTGGATCAGACGTAATGCCAGAAAAGGCAGTAGTAGTTTTCCTGTTTTCGGTTGCGATAGTTAATTTTCTTCCATGTAGCTGGTACGACACTGTGTTTTGGCTCGGTTTAAACCACAACCGTGGAAGGCAAATTACTGGGAAGACTGGAATAGCATCTGCAATAGCACAGGCCCTTTCATGCAGCTCTGAGGGTAAAACCTGTTATGGTCAAGCTGTCCCTCTGAGAGACAATTCTAATGTGACTGTCTTAGTGGCTCAATTTGTCACTTCTGTGACCTGCCTGTGAGTTATTCTCAATTAAAAGTATTCACTGAATATCTAATAAAGTTTTTCCCACCCCTCCTTACTCAGTGACAAAGGCACTTCTTGTGTGCAGGTGAGGTGGAATGCAGTCAGCACGTATAGTAAAAGCAGTGGGTCAATATCCATTAAAACTATCGTAACATGAGGCACACAAAAGGTAACAGGCTCTGAAAGCTTCAGCTGGACAGTTTCCCATGTACAACTGCATTCTGCTTCCCAGTACATCCCAGGGCATGGCACTCCACACACAACTCCATTCTGCTTCCCAGTACATCCCCGACAAATATCAAGTTCTGCCCCTTATTTAAAGGAAGATCAAAATAAACTGGAGAGCATCTTGCATATTAACAAAATATTTTAAAGATTCTCTTGAAAGAGAAGAATTAAAGATAAAATGACATTTAACCCAGCTAAACTGTAATAACCCTATACTTAAAAGTAAAGCTGAACTTCAGTATCTATGCATATATTTGGATAAGAAAGAATTAGGAAACATATTCAGAGGACATACAGATCAGAACCCATGTCTGTATCAGCCTATATGGATTGTTTAAAAAAAGCAAGATAGTGAATAGAGAAACTAGACTTCAAATAAGGCAGCGAAGTCATGCACTATAAATAGATTTCATTTGCAGAATGTTAATGGTTAATAAGAAATCTAGTAATATAGGAGCACATTAAACATCTTTGTGCTGGTAGCATCTCATTTGTCTGGGGCCAAGTGATAATTTTTTTTAATTATCTGTGGACAGACTACGAAGCTTTTGGCATATAATGCATGTGTCCTGTTAAGACTCTTCTTTCTATCATCTTTTAAAAGTATACAGAAAGATAGCTGTCAGAGCATCATACAGCCTACTTCTGATCATGTACAGTTACATGTCTAAAACTGTGACAAAATGACCATCTGACAGCAATTTTGTACACAGAAAATTAAAAGCTACAAGTGAAGACCTCAGACATAGCAAAGATCTTTATATCAAATGGAGTGTGAAAAAAGTCACCTAAGAAACAGATAGAGGTTTGCCTGCCAAAAAAAAAAAAAAAAGAAGTTTATAGCAGGCACAGTCTTATCACTAGCATTCATTAAATTTTATTGTTAAAATGAAGCTCTGCCCTAAGAAGCAGTCATCTAAAATATTCTTTCAAACTATCACATCCTCTCATTTGAAATTAAAAGTTTATTTTCTCCTTCAGACACCTGCTGTCCTCTTCAAGTACTGTAATATGACACTCGACATGCAATTGAATTATTCTAATATAACATACACCAGATGTCATGACCACACTTCACTTTAACTTGAGAAAAATCAAAAAGAACAAAGTGTGAACTCAATTCAAGGTGTAAAGAAAAATCTCAAATTCCATGGCAACATATGAGACCTAAAAAAGTGTCATTAAGTAGTATTATTTCTATTGTTTTTAAGTATGACCCTTGGTAAACAGCAACTCTGCTTCAATCAGCTCCTGCATCTGAAATTACAGCATACCATTTGTGCTAACAATTTCCATGATCATTTCTGCAAGCTTATTTCCAAAGAGCCTCAATTGTACAGCAGCAAAGAAACAGTCACCGACTGTCAAATTACAGCTTAAAGTTATTCATCTTGTGCCATTTGAGCATTTGCCCTACAGCTTTTGACAAACATTCATGTTTTTTTCTCACTTCATCAGTCTCCTCAACTGAAATGGCAGGTGAAGTGCAAGTTAATTTAGAGCACAGTCCAACTGTTGTTTCAGACAAGAGAGGGAGCTGTGAGCTGAGAAGGAAGTTATATGTAGGGCACAGTGGGAACACTGCTAATAATGCAAAAGGTTAGTGAATAGCAGCTCATAATGTGAAAGGTCAGTGAACAGTGGCTTGACTCTTTTTTGGCATATTTTGTTTATATTTTAGGCTAAAAAAATCATTTCTAACAGAACAAGCCTCAGATAGTTAACATACACATTAATTAAATACTGTGTTACTGCCAAAGCCTGCAACAATGACTCTGAAAAATTGAAGTTATATACCTGGCAGTCAAGACAAGACAAATTCTACTATTTCAACCCAATCAACACCAATGACACTGGTGTTCATGAAATCTTAAAAAGGAAGGAAGAATGCCCTTGTGGTTACAATATGGGCTGCAATTCAGTAACTTTGGTTTGAATTCCCTGCTCTCCAACAACTGCAAGTACTCTCTCTTGCAAGGCATTTAATACTTGGGCACCTTGGGTGTCTGTATTTGGGAAGAGAGGGGAAGAGGAAGGGGGGAAGCAAAGAAGAAATGGGAGTGGACAGCACTTTCCCAGCTGGTTCATCTGTTAGCAAGTAATATTCATTTTATTCCAGTAATACAAGACTACATACCAATACCAAAGCACAAACACTGAATTGTAAGTCTGAATTTGCTCCCATGTGTCACTGTTCCCTAAGCCCAGAAGGTATGCATTTTCAACTGTTTGTCATGAAAAAGCAGATGGAAGTGTGCGTTTGGCACAGCTGGCCAAACAAGCAGGCCTTTCTAAGAGCATATACTGTGAGTGACAGAGCAAATTAATTAGAACAGCAGGTAGTGCATAGCAGGTTTGATCCACAGTTTATAGTGAATTTGAGAAAAGCAAAAAACTCCCAGAAACTTCCTTGGGAGCACGTTACTGCCTCCTGAGTACTTGGCTCACAGAGAAAATAAAATACAGTTTACTAGCATCAAAACAAAACCCTCAAAGGAACATCCTGGAATTCAATTCACCCAGGTCAGTTCCTCCCTCACTCTGAAACCAGGCAGCATCTTAAAAGAAAGCTCATGCCTATGTCCCAGCCACTTACCACTTCATAATCGGTAACCACAACTCACCTACGGTCCTCAGATTTGGGGATGGGGTTGGTGCAGCGTTGGCTGTTATACTTGGCCACATATTCACATTGCTTGAAGGGGGCAGTCTTGTCCTCCAGAACGTGTCTGATACAGAAGGCGTAGCCGTTAAGTCGCCTCTGCTTGCACAGTTTGGGGCTATATGAGCACAAGGGCTTATTGTCAACCTCAGAGAAGTGTATGTGTTTGCCTTCATACATCACGTGACTCTATTCCTTGTGAACATCAGCTGAAAGAACCAAAATATTAAGACAAATCACATAAGTTAAAAAAAAAAAAAAGCATTCAAGCAGTCAGTTCTAGATCGTGTGTTTCATTTTGGTGGGAAAGAGGGACTCAAACCAATACCTGATTTTAAATCTTCTGTACCATATCAGTGTTAAGAGAGAGCCCCAAGGACACCTCTATCCTGGAATGATGATGAATCAAGATGAAGCAGATTGTCTAAGGAAAATATCAAAAAGGTCAAAGTCAGACAGAATAAAATAGATATTATTGCTACTTAATAACTAAGTGGTCAGGTGCAGTCACTAAACCTGTGGTTCAGCTACCACCCAATAAGCCAAATCCGCTAGCACAATAGTTTTCAATCAGTAGTCACAGATCTTTGGAAACCATGAAAGGAAATTACTGGGAGGGGAATAATGCTACCGCCACCGCACTTGAAACTGTTAAACAAAACTCCACTCATCTACCAGAAAGCAACTGGAAGCTACAAGTTGAAAAAGGTTAAGCGTCAGATTAGATCACTTGCTTTCAGGAATCAAGTTGAATGATAATTAACCCATTTGAATGCAGAGGTTTTACTTTAAGTATCTGCTTACAAAAAAGGCTGGTGACTATCCCTGCTCTGCAAAATTTTAATTTCATCAGGCAGTACAAGAAAGCCTTTTTTTTTTTTTAAAGCTTTCTTTACCATGAAGACCATTACTGATAAACAGTCTTCAGATTCTGCGGTTGCCCACAGCTTCTGCAAGCATCAATATGCAGTCTTTCCTGAGGTCATCATGCCTCTTCAGAGCTTCTCCTGCCTCCTTGTACTAATGTTAGGTAAATGTGAGCATTAATAATGTCAGAGGAAGTACTTCCATCAATGCCAGTAGAGCTGAAATATTTCAGCAAGAGACTGGGTTTTTTTCCCCACTCTAAAATAGACTCCTATGGTGCAAATCCATGCAATCATAAGGTACTTTTCATTTCCCAAAACTATGGAGTCTTTGGCAATCATCTTTTAAAAAACCAAACAAACAAGAAGCCAAACAAACAAACAAAGAAAACAAACAAAATCAAAGTAGCTTCAAATAAAATTAACAGTACACATATTCTGCAGTTACTCAGCTACACTCAGCTTAGCCTTCAAAAGGCAGTTTAGAAAGGCCTTCCTGAAAGCATTGGAATAAACTCTTTTAAAGATGGTATAGTCATCATTCAGTTCAGTTTCACGTGGCATATACCAAGCAAATGAACATACACAGAAGTGATAATCAGGAAATACATTATAAATCAGAGGCATGTGACAAATGTACAGATTACCACCTCAATCAGCATACTTATTCCCAAGGCCTGCAACGTCAAGGACATGAGTGCAAGGAGGGAACCTACACAGACTATTCAGGAAAGATGCAACTTCCTCTTGTGAAGGTATAAGGCTTCACTTTCCAGTGCATAAACGTACCATGAGAAAATGAAAAGCACTATGGCACTGGAGGATCTACAAAAGCAACTTTAAGCCACCAAGCCAAAACAAAACACCCTATCACACCTCTAACAGTAACCTGTATAAAGCAGGCCTTTCATTAGCATATATCTAGCTGTAGGAGCAGACAGACGGAAGACTACTAAAAATCTAAAAACACACTTAAAATTACTGAAACAGCTGTATATGCACACGTGCAGCATGCACAGCACACAGAATGGAGACGCACTACAGAACATAACTAGCGCCAAGTGACCTGATTAATCATTTGACAGTAATAAGGATCATTTTGTATTTCCTCTATATACAAAGTTCCCTTTCCACGCACACATGCAAGCACACCCCACCAGGGGTAGAGGCCTCCCGCTTTGTTTACACTGGATAGCCACAACACAAGCACAGACATCTAATCCAGTTCCAATCACCTTCCCCAACTTCCCTCAATGCGTGCAAGCATCATGAGTACATGCAAGTATGAAGCACATACTATATACATTTGAAATCAATCACTGGAGTGTGACCCTTTCCAACACATTGGTATTAAGAACAATAAAGTTCACTGTTGGTCATGTTTTTCATACCGACAGAATGGAAAGAGGGAACTCTCTCTTCTTTGGCATATGCTAGGAACCAAATAATCCTTTCAGACACCTTTGTTAAGGCAGATACTGACACACACTTCAGCAACAACATGAAAGGAAAACATAAATCCCATGGTGACGTGCTCAGTACAGGAGCTGTGATCTAGGTTTGGGTTCTGTATGCTTGAGACACAGCCTCCTCCATTACTATGGCAGGAAAAAGGTTGTCTTAACTAATTCCATCCCATACACACAACTGAAGCTTGTATTTGGTGGCATACTGGACAGGATGAAAAATTTGACAGAACAAGCACATCTTGCAGTTGGAGTGACTCACATGCTGCTATTTCTGTTTTATTTACCACCTTCTTTTAAGCTACTACCATGCTTAGCAGAGTTTTTGACAGATCAATGACCTTCTCCTCTTCTTCACAACCCAGCAACGTTTCTTTTCTGAAGGTTATCAAGCAGCAGACCAAAGAAAAAGAGTACCTCAGAACATTCCAAAGCAACCAGCAAGGAATGCATACCTGATGTGCCTCTGTTAAGCTTCTGTAAAGAAACTGCTCAACAGTTTACAGCCACTATAATTCTGGATTTATTCTTGTGCCCCCTTACTTTTGGATTTAACTCATAATTAAGTCTTATTTTTGCATATAACTTGACTATGTCAAGGAGGCATAGTATTTTACTTCTTGTTTGTCTAAAAGATACAGGGTGCAAGTACAATACCATATGAAACATTTAAGCAAAAATACTGACAATAATCCTCAGGGAAATCAATGAGCTTGAACATCAATTTTTTGGTCTATATATACACTTAGAGAAGCTCATGCAAATATAACCATGTTAAAAATCCTGATGGGAATCAATTAGTGCAATAAACAAAGGAAAGCTAATACACCTAGCAGCCAATGTTATATTAAAAAAGCCTACAGCAACTCTCTCAAACTTGCAATTATATCTTTATTGGTAGATCCCTACACAGACTTCCCAAAAGACAGCAGTGCTATGTGGATACACTGCCAGGATCAGAGACTGAGGTTGTACATAATCTAAAAGAATAGCTTTATTTATTTATTATTTCCATATCATACACTATATATATATGTATATCTATAAATTAATAACAAATATTTTTTTAATCTACTGATTCTGATTTAATCTGATGGCATAGTTTATTTTGAACAAAATACACAGGAGTTCTTAACAGAGCTTTTTGCTGCTACATAAAAAAGTAGCACAAGCATGGAATAGACACATGTCGCTTAACTGAAGAGAACTGAAACTACACTTAGCTAAACAGTGGGTGGGGGAGAAACTATTTTTGTCCCACAGGATTCAGTAAGCGATGACGGAAACATGGACTTCCCCTGGAAAAATCAAATGCTTAAGCAGCTGTACTTCACTGCAAAAATATCAGGGTACAAAACTTTCTGGAAGCTGTTTTGGGTTTTGCATTTATACTCTACACTGAAGCTGTAGAAAGGTTCAACAGAAACATAACTTACGCCTGCACAGAAACATAATATGCCTGCATATGTTCAAACCAGTTTTAGCTACAACCCATGAATAAGAAACTATAGGCTGCTTCTTGAGGAACATCAATTTTCCTTAAACAGTTAATTCTGAATAAAAGATTCTGAGCTGGTCAGAAGAAAAAGGGCAAAGAACAGAGGCGAAACAAAAAATGTATGTGTGGCATTGCCAAATCATGTAAGACATGACTGAGGTTTAAAAAATCCTGGTAGGGGATAAGGTCAATATAGAACAACTGTATACCATATCACACAATATTAGAACTTCATGAAGCTAGTAAGAGATAACTCAAAACATTAAAGTAGTACTTCATTTCTACCACTCACAGGTAGTGAACTGCTAGACCTTGCTGCCACGAGAGGCTATAGAAGTATCATCAGGTTCAAAAAGACAGTAGAAAAATTAATAGACAATGGGAACATAAGTGATATACCTGCCAGCCTGTCTAATTTAACAAATATGAATGGTGGAGAAGAAAACAAAGTGGCTGGGCCTTCATGCTCTTCCTAAATAGCATCACTTACTCCAACTACCCAAGACAGAACGCTAAGTTGGATCAACCCAATCTGACCCAGCAGTGTATTTCTTATGTTCTTATGAGGTTACCACTAACATGTGTAATTTTGTAACACAATCATTTCTCCCCTCCTCCCATTTTTTTATTCCCGAGCAGATAACTGGAAGAAAATCTTATCCCTCTGGCAAAAGACCTATCTGGACATGTGAAGAGCAACAGACTTAACATTCCAGCAAGACTATACAGCAAGGCAGACAGGACACAAACCAAAGCCACACTCTGCAACATCATCACTTAGAGCAGAGCTACTTGTCTTCCTGAGTGCAGCCACTGGTGGTCCGTAAGACAACAGAAGGTGGTTTGCAAAGTGACTGTAAAAAGAGAAATGAAAGACTTAAATACACACAGGTACACACCTGCGCAACCGTCTGTACCTGCTGTTAGGCATAGGAAGAAGCCAGCTCCCAACTGCTTTTAGTACTGGCAAGCAGGCATAATCAGTTCCCTTGCAGTGCACATCAGCCCCAAGATAACAAAGCTGTAGCTCTGGGCTCCACATACCCTCTCCCAAAACAGTTAAAACAGTCCTTCAGAGAGGCTGGAAAACAGTACAGCAGCAAACTTTGGGGGGCAATCTTTGCTAAACTATACTGAGTATCAGCATCATGTCATACAGAAACCTGGTACCTGACATCATCTGTACCCTACAGAGAAGTTAATGGCTTAGTCACTATTAGAAAGCCCAAAGTATTACAGCCCCAAAACTCAATCGGTAATTTTGAGGCAACACTGTGCTGAGAATATTAGAATATTTTAAATCATGCGCATTGGATACATTCTTAAATGTATGCTCAGAACTTGACATTCAATGTACGTAAGACCCTTTTAGGCAATGGAATCCCCAAATGCATTGTAAATTGCAAGGCAATTATATGTCAGTGGTTAAAAGATGTATAATTAAGAGGACTGAGTTCTGAGCTTCACGCATTGCATCCAAACAAAAGCCACTATGAAAGAAGTCTTAACTGTGTTGTTTTGCATTTGCTAATACTAGCACAAATTTCATGTTAAATTGCTTGGTGTCTTCATGACATCTCAGGGACAAGGTACAATCATCTACATATGCTTCCAAAACCATTAGCTTGGGGCCAGAAGTGGAACACAGATCTCCAAGAACCTTGGCTTTTCCACAAACATGAACAGCATAAGTAGCAGTTTTGTCGATTCCTCAACTTGACCAAGAAATAACAATTCCCTGCACTGTAATTGTCTGACCCTTTGGCTGAAACTAACAGTAAATACACAGATTTTAAGATGTTTGGGCAACATGGAATTTCATCCACTCATCAGAGATGAAGAGAGACCATAAAAATCATTG